TGAACCAGCACAAGAACACTTAAATCTACTAAACAAAATGAATTGTCCGGACCCGTGGAAGGATAGCGTCTGTGACTGATGAATGAGACACACTGTAAAATTTAGACACTTATATTCCTCCAACACTACAAACACAATCAAATAATGGTACACCAATAGCACTTCTTAACTTGAACTTAAAACACTACTCTGGGGAATAAAAGTTATACGATATAGAAAATATTAGAAACTCAGGCAAATAATAAATTTGAAGTATTAAGAAATGTTGCTTGCACACATGAACAGGCCTTTCAAGCTTTCAACAAAATTATATCACCCCAACAGATGCAATAATTACTTAACCTAACTTAACCACTACTCTGGGGGAACAAAGGTTATACCTGAGATCGGAATTATAAAGAAAAATTAGATGCATTAAAGGAATTAAATCACAGTTTCACTCTGGTTCCACTTAGTGACACAACATTAAAAAAACAATACTATCAAAATCATTTAGAACTATTACTACACACGCCAAGATAATATCAGGAACTGAAAATGGTACTAACTACACACAAAAATATTGTCACTATTATTATGGGTTACTGGGTCCACTAATACCCGTGAACCATGCTCCACCCAACTCAACATACACCGTAATAAGGAGATAAAATGTTTTCTAGGTATCCCTAGACCCTGGTCTCAGTGTATGACCATTAATTCTGATTCAGATAGTCTGCACTCTCAGTGCATCCATAGGCGGGAAGAGGAACCACAGGAGACTATGGCCAGTAGGTAATACTTATCTGACCTGAGGACACGGGTGTGGTGTTGTGCACCCACGTGGTAAGAACTGATCACCCAATGCTGATGCTGGCCCGTGACGTTTTAGTTGTCGGGAGCACCGCTCACCAAGAGATCCTTGCTCCCCGCTAACCAGTGACACGCCTGCACTGATTGTTCCACTGCATAATCGCCAATCATCAACAGCAGTCTCAAACGGCAGCCACCCCAGTCAATTTCTGAGGTCAATTGCCCTGACGAAATCCCAGTTTTGTGTGTGTGGCCCGCGGACTATTTCTGTGAAGGATGCGAGGGACGTCTTTGCTGACCAATGCCAGCGTCGTTCTGCTTCCACCCACCTCGGAACATTCAGATTGATATACTCATTCTCTCACTAATTAATCTCACAGCGACCAGTTCCACAACCTCTGCTATGTGAGGAGTCTTTCCTCAGACGACCTTGAAAACTCAGTATCGCCAATGGCGCTTGAAATTACACTGAAATTTCTGAATATATATATATATATATATATATATATATATATATATATATATATATATATATATATATATATATATATATATATATATATATAAGGAAAAAGAAAATACATGTTTCTTTCTTGTATATAAATTATTTATATATATATATATATATATATATATATATATATATATATATATATATATATATATATATATATATATATATATATATGTAATATTCAGAAATTTCAGAGTAATTTCAAATGCTCTGCCATGAGTGATACTGAGCGCTCAAGGTCATCTGAGGGGAGGGGAGCTGCTTGCCTGTGAAGTAGAGACTGTGAACTAGGCCTATATGATATTATTAATGTGATTTACCGAATTAATAATGATGCGATTCATATTAAGGGATTTTATTGAATTTGAAATTATTATAGATCGTTTAGCAGTCTGAATAATGTTACGCCGTGGTCCCAAGGAGTTATTAGTTAGGCGTGTAAATATATCAGAGGGGACCGCTTAGCGCCTTTGGGACGCGACGCTGCAGGCCATCCCGAGAGCATTCATAAGACAAGACGTTCATTCATCGTAGCAATTAGTCACGCGGGCTTAGCCACCGCAACGCTATTGCAGTATAACAAGTAAGTCTCATTCGATCTCTCAGACAGGGTTGGATAGGGCAGTGATAAAGTAAACTAGAGCTAACAGTGAGTTCATTTCAGGTTTCTGCCAGAACCCACTTGATTGGAGTTGACCGGAGTTGATTGGAGTTGACCGGAGTTGATGCGTAGAGATTGACTGCCGCTTGAGACTGCCGTTGATGATTGAGGGTGGCGATTGTCGCCATTGACCGACCAGTGTAGGCCTGTCACTGTTTAGCGGGTAGAGGAAGGATCTTGAGTGAACGAAAGTGCCCATAACCAACACGACACGACGCATCAGCAGGGTGATCAGTTTCTTACCTCGTGCACAACCCCATATGTCCCGAGCAGCTAGTGAAACCCTCTTGCTAACGGAAGCCAAAGTTTCTCTCAACTGCACAAGGTCTGATTGGCTCACTCTTCTTGCCCATGACCACTGGGAGTACACTGAGGCTATCTGAGTATATTAATGGTCACACTGAGACCGTGGAGTCTAGGACTCTAGGAGATACCTAGAGGAACATTTATCTTCCTTATCACGGTGTAGTACACCATTCCTCAGACTGATATCATCTTGACGGTAGTTTAATATTTCTTAAATAATTTTGATAGTAGTGTTTTTTTTGAATGTTTGTGCCATTAAGTGAACCAGAGGATACTGTATTTGATTTTTAATGCCCTTAATTCTTCATAATTCTGATCTCAGGTATAACCTGTTCCCAGAGCAGGTTAGGTTAGGGTTAGGAAGTGTACACCTGTTGGGGTGCTATAATTTTGTTGAGGATATTATTTGCTGAAAGCCCTGTACCTATTCATTGTAGAGTATTTAATTTCTTATCTTTTTTACCATTTCTCAGTGACTGATATTATTTTGTTGAAGACCCCATACCTATTCATTGTGTGAGTATTTAATTCTTATTTTAGTACCATTTCTAAGTGACTGATATTATTTTGTGAAAGCCCAAGGCCTGTTCATGTGTGCAAACAACATTTCTTAATACTTCAAATTTATTGTGCCTGTGTTTCTAGATAATTTTTATGTCATGTATAACTTTATTCCCCAGAGTAGTGTTTAAAGTTTGGTTAAGAGGTGCTATATTGGTGTACCATTATTTGATTGTGTTTTAGTGTTGAGGGAATATGTGTACTAAATTTTACAGTGTGTCTCATTCATCCAATCACAGACGCTTATCCTTCCACGGGTCACGGACAGTTCATTTTGTGTAGTAGATTTAAGTGTTCTTGTGCTGTTCGATTTTTTCTTGTAAGGGCTTTCCACTGCCTTTACCATCTATTAAATTTTAATAAACCCCAAGTCAAGTGAGAAATTAAAGTCCAGTAAATTCGACTGGTATATATATATATATATATATATATATATATATATATATATATATATATATATATATATATATATATATATATATATATATATATATATATATATATGTATGTATATATATGTATATATATTCAGAAATTTTGTGATATTTAGAGACGTTAAACGAAAATGACCGATCAGCTGAAACACCACGCCTCATGGCAAATCAATAAGCCTGCAATCCCCAAGAGAGCTGAAGCATTTTGAACTAGGCTCATTAAATTAAACGACTTTTATCGAATTAATGTAGAGAAGATTCATGAAGTTAAGGGTATTATTAAATTTAAAGTAATTGTAAATCGTTTCAGTCTAAATATGTTATGTGTGTCCCAAAAGAAACTATTAGTTATGCAAAAGATGACGCCACTAGGCTGGGCGGCCGCTTGAGACGAGGAGGGCGGCAGTTCAGTAAGCGCTGGCGTAGGGAAAGCAGACGTCCGTGCGCACGTCTCTGGCGAAAACGACCACTTGGCCTCGTCCCTTTGAGTAGCACGCCTCCATCAGTGTTGCAAGTAAGTTTATTCGATCTCCATTATGGTTTAGATAGGGCGAAAGAAGTTAACAATAGCTAACAGGAGTGTTCTCTTA